TGGTGCTAGGTGTGATGATGGTGCTAGGTGTGATGGTGGTGCTAGGTGTGATGGTGGTGCTAGGTGTGATGATGGTGCTAGGTGTGGTGATGGTGCTAGGTGTGATGGCGGTGCTAGGTGTGATGGCGGTGCTAGGTGTGATGGTGGTGCTAGGTGTGATGATGGTGCTAGGTGTGATGATGGTGCTAGGTGTGGTGAGTGTGATGATGGTGTCAAATGTGGTGAGTGTGATGATGGTGTCAAGTATGATGAGTGTAACATATTGTAAATCTTTATATACCTATGGCTTAAGGTACAAGGAAATTTTAACTACACTTTTCTTGACTTGTACAAGATTATTTTTTATAGAACGTGTACGTAGTCTCCTGTGGCTCAGCGCCGACAGTGCCTGACATTTACCTAGCTGATGTTGTGTGCTGTTTCTTATACCCTGCCTCATCGCCTGGTGGCCGTGTTCAAGAGCTACCCATTAACTGCTCACAAACAAATGTATGAATAATTCAGGGTTATCATTGCAGGGTTCAACTCTAGACACGTTCACTTGGAATGACATGAACGAACCCTCCGTGTTCAACGGCCCTGAGGTGACCATGCAGAAGGACTGCGTCCACCCTGGTGTTGGCGTCGAGCATCGTGAACTCCACAACGTCAACGGCATGTTGTTTGTGAGTCTCGGTTTCTGTGCTGTTTTTTTGTGTGAACTTGAGAATTCCTTCGTTTGTAACTCGTATTTAAGTGCCAACATTAATTTTTAATTTTAATTGGAATATTTGTTGCAACTGTGCTCCAGAAAAACATTAAACATCCATTATGTCCCCACATTGTCATTATGTCTCCTAAACATTAAACATCCATTATGTCCCCACATTGTCATTATGTCTCCTAAAGAATGTCATTCATTCCCTGCCATCTCCCCAGCACTCTGCCACGTACGAGGCACACCTCCAGCGCAGCAACAACCGTCTTCGGCCGTTCGTGCTGACGCGGTCAGCGTACGCAGGTTCGCAGCGCACAGCAGCCATCTGGACGGGTGACAACACAGCGGACTGGGGACACCTCAAGTATTCTGTGCCTATGATCCTCTCACTCAGTATCACGGGACTGTCACACGCCGGTGCTGATATTGGCGGCTTCTTTGGCAATCCTGAACCTGCATTGCTCGCCCGGTGGTACCAGGTCTGTGTTAGGGGCTCTCAATGTATTAGTTAATATTGACTTCATGGGCAGAGGGGCTAGCCAATGAGCTTATGAATGCTCGTCAAAACTAAATAATGTATCAGTTAATATCGACCTAATGGGCAGAGGGGCTAAGCCAATGACCTCATGAATGCTCGTCAAAACTAAATAATGTATATAATATAACATAATATAATATGCAATAAGTTAATATCGACCTCATGGCAAGAGGGGCTAGCCAATGGGCTCATGAATGCTCGTCAAACCTAAGAGAAGAAATAGAGTTTAGTCTTACTGTTTGTTAATAAATAAGATATAATTAGAAATGCCTGGGTTTGATGGGAAAATATGCATTAAATTAGGGTTATTATATGTCCGTTGTAAAAGCGGCAAAGTAAAAGCAAATCTTTGGCAAATATGGGTACACCCTAATATTTAACATGAGTGTTTAAATTATATACTGACGGATAAATGAAATCGTCCAAATGCAAAAATAAACGCTGTTCATTTTCCCTGGCGACATAAACGAATGATTAATTGATGATCATTATAATTAATAAAATTAATTCCCCCCCTTTTTGTTGGAATGGTGAGTGTGGGAGGCCTTTCTAAAGAAAAAAATAAAAGAAATAAAAATAAATAAAATTGATGATCTAGAACGAACGATCGATTGACCGCCCAGAATGAACGCTTTATCAACCGAATTTCCGTGTGGATTACTTTAACGTGAATAACCATGATTTGCACAAAAAAGTATTAAAGAAGTTTTTGGAATTCGCGTGCAGAAATTTAATAGAGAAATCAAGTTGGCCTTCATTTATTCATTTATGGTCTCATGTCTTTGGCTCCAATGATGTACTATTTCAGTTAACTTATGCTTCATTTAAAAAATTTTTCTTCCAGGTTGTTGCTTACCAAATATTTTATTGTGTAATAAAACGAGCCAATTGTTGATACAAAATATGTATTTGTTAACCTAGATATATATAACAAACAAGTGCTATTGTTGCTGGCTAATTTTTGTGGTTGAAATCATCACTGAATTATTCATGTAATTAATGTCTTGTCTCAAGCTACCTCCTTTATAACGATGGAAGTTAATATACCTTATTATTACATCCTATACATCCTATTATTATATCCTAAGATCCTATACATCTTTTTATTACGTCCTATACATCTTATTATAAGGCTTGTGTGCAGGCAGCAGCATACACGCCCTTCATGCCTGTGTTGTGTGTGCAGGCAGCAGCATACACGCCCTTCATGTGTGCGCACGCACACATCGACACGAAGCGACGGGAGCCGTGGCTGTTCGAGCGCCCCACGCTAGCGGTGATAAGACGCGCCATCAAGGACCGCTACCGCCTCCTGCCGCTGTGGTACACGCTCTTCTGGCACAACCAAAGAACTGGCGAGTCACCCTCACTATATGGTATATGGTATAAGGTACCGCCTCCTGCCGCTGTGGTACACGCTCTTCTGGCACAACCAAAGAACTGGCGAGTCACCCTCACTATATGGTATATGGTATAAGGTACCGCCTCCTGCCGCTGTGGTACACGCTCTTCTGGCACAACCAAAGAACTGGCGAGTCACCCTCACTATATGGTATATGGTATAAGGTACCGCCTCCTGCCGCTGTGGTACACGCTCTTCTGGCACAACCAAAGAACTGGCGAGTCACCCTCACTATATGGTATATGGTATAAGGTACCGCCTCCTGCCGCTGTGGTACACGCTCTTCTGGCACAACCAAAGAACTGGCGAGTCACCCTCACTATATGGTATATGGTATAAGGTACCGCCTCCTGCCGCTGTGGTACACGCTCTTCTGGCACAACCAAAGAACTGGCGAGTCACCCTCACTATATGGTATATGGTATAAGGTACCGCCTCCTGCCGCTGTGGTACACGCTCTTCTGGCACAACCAAAGAACTGGCGAGTCACCCTCACTATATGGTATATGGTATAAGGTACCGCCTCCTGCCGCTGTGGTACACGCTCTTCTGGCACAACCAAAGAACTGGCGAGTCACCCTCACTATATGGTATATGGTATAAGGTACCGCCTCCTGCCGCTGTGGTACACGCTCTTCTGGCACAACCAAAGAACTGGCGAGTCACCCTCACTATATGGTATATGGTATAAGGTACCGCCTCCTGCCGCTGTGGTACACGCTCTTCTGGCACAACCAAAGAACTGGCGAGTCACCCTCACTATATGGTATATGGTATAAGGTACCGCCTCCTGCCGCTGTGGTACACGCTCTTCTGGCACAACCAAAGAACTGGCGAGTCACCCTCACTATATGGTATATGGTATAAGGTACCGCCTCCTGCCGCTGTGGTACACGCTCTTCTGGCACAACCAAAGAACTGGCGAGTCACCCTCACTATATGGTATATGGTATAAGGTACCGCCTCCTGCCGCTGTGGTACACGCTCTTCTGGCACAACCAAAGAACTGGCGAGTCACCCTCACTATATGGTATATGGTATAAGGTACCGCCTCCTGCCGCTGTGGTACACGCTCTTCTGGCACAACCAAAGAACTGGCGAGTCACCCTCACTATAGCCATGAGATATCTGACGTAACGTCCTTGAGTATATCTGACTTACGTCCTAACGTCTGTTAGGTATCAGTATTACGTCCTAACGTATTACGTATCAGTATTACGTCCTAACGTATTACGTATCAGTATTACGAATCAGTATTACGTCCTAACGTCTGTTAGGTAACAGTATATCTGACTTACGTCCTAACGTCTGACGTAACGTCGTAACGTCCTTAATTTTTCCTTGAGATATCTGCCAGATATCTTCTGGCACAACCAAAGAACTGGCGAGTCATCCTCACTATATCCTTGAGATATCTCACGTAACAACGTTGGTCATATCTTGATGCAGCTACATCAACTCGTTATCTATGTGTTGCAGTCGAAATTGTTTTCTTTTCTCTTACTTGTGAGCGATTAAATTTATCAAAGTAGGTATGAGAGACTCGGATCATCGGTTTCATTTTTGAGCATATTAAATTTTGTGTTTTAATATGTTGCTGACCCAGTATGTGTATAAGTATTCTGCCTCGTGTTATAAATATATTTAAATGTAGTTGATTAAGTTTAATTGGAATAGGACCCAACCGTGTACTATGCCGCCAATGCAAGACCACCTTGGATTTGAAAAATAATCATTTCTAAATCATTAAAATTTGTGATCGTATTCTTTTTTTCAAAGAAGGGTCCCCCTTTGGTCAATGCTTCTGTTGAGCGTCTCAAAGCTTAGGATTTAGACACCAGCTTTCCTTAAGCCTGTTTTACTGGTGATGATGTGAGCAAATATAGCAAGATCAGTGCAACTTATATAGACATGTTAATTTGTATATTTAGGGTAGAGCCCTTCATTTAAACATGTTTCATTTAAACATGTTTCATTTAAACATGTTAATTTCTTCATAGGCTCCCTAAATCAACGCTTTTCAATGTAAAATGTTTCATTAATATTCCCTAATTTAATTTTGAAACATACACAGTTCGTGCTAAAATGTTTCAAACAAAATTAAACCTATCTTTATAATAAAACACAAAATGATTCTACCATTAGAAAGTTGGTGCATGCTAGTCTCTGTACCTTAATAACGAGTCGCTTTTTTTTCATGCACACCAAATATTGTTTAAGTTATAAATAGCAAAGTATGTGCTTTATTTCGATTTTGAGTTGAATAATAATAAATATTTCAGTATGTAACATTTGAAGTTAATTGCAGGTGCCCCGCCGATGCGTCCCATGTGGGTCGAGTTCCCAGGAGACGAGCAGACGTTTGACTTGGACCTGCAGTACATGGTCGGCAGCAGCCTGCTGGTCGCGCCCGTTGTGGAGTCAGGTGATCTGATACATCTTGTTGCTAACATTATTTCAGAGCAGACAACTCTTGTTGCTCAGATAATGTCAGAGCAGTTGTTGCTCAGATAATGTCAGAGCAGACAAGTCTTGTTGCTTAGATAATGTCAGANGACAACTCTTGTTGCTCAGATTATTTCAGAGCAGACAACTCTTGTTGCTCAGATTATTTCAGAGCAGACAACTCTTGTTGCTCAGATTATTTCAGAGCAGACAACTCTTGTTGCTCAGATTATTTCAGAGCAGATACATCTTGTCACTCAAGGAATTGTAAACTTTTTGTGGCGTAAAATGTATAATAATAGACTGCGTTTGTTGATAATTGTAGTTGTAGATGGCTTCATTCATATTTCTTCTATCAGCAAAACTACGGCAAGCTTTAAAATCCTAGCAGCCTTTAATGACGCCCTCCTTCCTTCTATTTGCTTTGCATCCAACTAAACCCACATGTTAATCCTGTGCAAACTCTGCAAGAATTAATTTATAGAAATTGAATTGAATTTGAAATTGAATTGAATAATTGAATAGAATTGAATAGAAATTGAAAAGAATATAGAAATTACTTTGAATTAAATTGAATAATTGAATAGAATTGAATAGAAATTGAAACGAATATAGAAATTACTTTGAAATTAATTGAAGAATTGAATAGAAATTGAAAAGAATATAGAAGTTACTTTTTGATCAGGAGCGACGGCATTGACGGTGTACTTCCCCACCGGCATTTGGTACGACGTCCTGGACAATTCGGTCGTGCAAGGCCCCGGCACCGCCTCCGTCCACGCGCCTCCTGAGAAGGTAAGGCTTCCTACAGCGTCCTGCTGACCTGCTGACCTTCCTACAGCTTCCTGCTGACCTGTGTACTACTTATAGGCTTCCTACAGCGTCCTGCTGACCTGTGTACTACTTATAGGCTTCCTACAGCGTCCTGCTGACCTGTGTACTACTTATAGGCTTCCTACAGCGTCCTGCTGACCTGTGTACTACTTATAGGCTTCCTACAGCGTCCTGC